CATTTGTGCCCTGGGCTTTCAGTGCTCATCCCCTGTCCCAGCTCTGCCATTCTCAGCAAAAGCTGCTTCATCCTGTCTGTCTCCCCAGGCCACCCCTGGAGGGCATTGGGTGCCAGGCTGGGTAGGGAGATTGGCAGGGTAAAGGGCAGTAGTTAGTCTACTGCTTCTGGGCAGGGGAGTGCTGAGGTCAGTGCAGAATGGGGTGAGGGCCTGTAGGGAGGCTTGCCAGGGCACAGCTGGCTGTGCTATGCAGGGTTGGGGGGGATATGGGATAGACATGTACTGGGCCCTCAGGGTTGGGGGTGCAATGGTATGTTTCCATCACCAAGGCTTCTGATTGCCTTAGATCCCCGGGTATGAAGTGGAGATGCAGTCTTGTCACCCACTTTGGGACAGCCTGACATGGCACCACTCTCTCTTGGTGCTTTGCTTTCGCCCCTTGGCGGGTCCAGACCTACTAGCCTGCACCTCCCAAGTGTCTCTCAACAGGAGCATGGGGGACAGCCCAGCCACCAAGCAGGCACTGTTCAAAAATAAATTGAAAGGTGAATGGGATAGAAATTTCCAAATCTGTGATACCCTCATCCTCTGCCGCCTTTCTCCTGAGCACAATGTTCTAAGGAGAAAAGAACTAAAATTGGTGAGGCTAAATTTCTAAGAAACGAACAAGGGCAGAAGAAAATTACCCACACAGAGCTCAGTCAAAGGGAAAGAAAAGTGATAATGGCCAACCTCATCTTTTCAGAACACAAAGTGACGATGGTGAATAGCTTAATGAGAGCCGCCTCGGCTGGGAGATATTAGCAACATAATTATGGAAGAGGGAAGATGGAGGTGGGACTACCATATGCATGGCAGGGGTTGCAGGAAGGCAGGCCAAGCTGCAAGAGGACAGGTTTGGCTGATTGGTGCCTCTACTTAGGCTTATTCATTGATACCCTTTCCTGTCTCATTGTCCCCTCACTGGAGGCATCCGTTCACCATCAATGTGATCAGATACTGCCTCTGTTCAAAAAGGAGCATGTCACTCAGCTTCCAGGTCTCAGGGACATTAGGTGTCAGAGAAGATTTGGCCAAATGGCTCTGGGACCCTGGGCAGCCTCATCTCTTCTTTGGTGTCTGAAGGTCCCCAAAGGCACAAGGAAGAGATTGACTATACCAGTGGTTCTCAAAGTGTGGTCTGCACCCCTGGGGGTCTCAGAGGCCCTTGCAGGGGGTCCAGAAGATCAAAACTGTGTTCATGACAATACTAAGACATTATTTGCCTTTCTAACAGTGTCAGCTGCTTGCACAGATAGTGCAAATGCCGTAAGAAATAAAACCGCAAGCTCCTGAGCAGGAAGCAAGACCACCAAACTATACCAGCTGCCGCTACATGTTTGACACCATGAAGTCACATGGTGGATCACAGAAGATGCCACTTTCACTTAAGAATGTCCTTGAAGTAGGAAAAAATTAAGAATTAAAAAAAATCTCTACCCCGAGTATGTACATCTTTTTCATATTCTGTGTATGAAATGGGAAGGATTCATAACACAATTATGCAAACCGGAGGATGGGTGGCTTTCTGGAGGAAAGGCACTTGTAAGACTGAGCTGCCAGCCAAAATAGTCCCTTTATCCATGGGACAGCACTTTTATTTAAAAGAATGCCTGACAAAAAATGGTAGTTTGGATTTGGTCTCTGGAAGATATTTTCTGAAAACAAACCGAGTGAGCCCATCATTTCAAGGAAAAAAACTAACAACTCTGTCACCAAAATGAAAAAAAAATTCCAGCTTTCAAGTGAAAGAATGTTGGAAAACTTGTCTTTACCATCATGAGCTTGACAGCTTCCTAATACCTAAAAGACTTTTTTGATGAGATTGGTGTCAGTGTTAAGAAATGTGAGTTTTTAATACTGTATGTTGAAACATGTCAACATTTGGAAGATCTATGTAACTCTGAACTAATATTTTCCAAATGACCAAAATGGTGTTAAAATCATGAATGGGGAGGATCCCTGGGTGGCTCAGCGGTTTAGCACCTGCCTTTGGCCCAGGGCGCAATCCTGGAGTCCCGGGATCGAGTCCTGCGTCAGGCTCCCGACATGGAGCCTGCTTCTCCCTCCTCCTGTGTCTCTGCCTCTCTCTCTCTCTCTCTCTCTCTCTCTCTCTCTGTATCATAAATAAATAAGTGAATAAATCTTAATAAAATAAAATCAAATCATGAATGGGTAAGAGACCCCTTCAAAGTGTAAAGCAGATCAATGGATGTTTTAAAAAGATTTTATTTTTTTAAGAGCAGTTTTAGGTTTATAACAAAATTGAGAGGAAGGTAGACATTTCCCATACAACCCCGCCAGCATCCATGCACAGCCTCCCCCACTATCCACAACCCTCACCAGAGTGGCCCACTTGTTGCCAAGGATGACCCTTCCTAACCTCAGGGTTCACTCTTACTATTGTACATTCTATGGGTTTGGGCATATTAATAATGCCATGTATCCATAAAATTACGGTATTATACAGAGTATTTCCACTGCCCTAAAAATCACCTGTTCTGCCTTTCTACACCTTCCCTTTGTCCCTGCCCCTGGAAACCACTCTGATCTTGTGCTGTCCCCATTGTTTTGCCTTTTCCAGAATATCACACAGTTGGAATTATACAGTATGCAGCCTTTTCAGATTGGCTCCTTTCACTTCATAATATGCATTTAAAGTTCCTCCATGTCTTTTCACGACTTGATAGTTTATTTCTTTTTAGTGTGGAATAGCATTCCATGGTGCGTATATACCAGTTTACTAATCCATTCACCTACTGAAAGATATCTTCGTTGCTTCCAAGTTTTGACAATTATGAATAAAGTTGCTGGGGGACACCTGGGGGGCTCAGTCAGTTAAGCATCTGCCTTCAGCTCAGGTCATAATTCCAGGGTCCTGGGATCGAGGCCCATGTCGGGCTCCCTGCTCAGTGGTGAGTCTACTTTTCCTTCACCCTCTACCCCTCTCCCTACTCATGCACGCCCCCCTCTCTCAAATAAACATATAAAATCTTTTATTTTTTTATTTATTTATTTTTTTTATTTATTTATGATAGTCACAGAGAGAGAGAGAGGGAGGCAGAGACACAGGCAGAGGGAGAAGCAGGCTCCATGCACCGGTAGCCCGACGTGGGATTCGATCCCGGGTCTCCAGGATCGTGCCCTGGGCCAAAGGCAGGCGCCAAACCGCTGCGCCACCCAGGGATCCCCATATAAAATCTTTTAAAAAATGAATAAAGTTGCTGCAAACACCTGTGTGCAGGATTTTCTGTGGCCAAATTTTCACATCTTTTTTTTTTTTTTAAGATTTTATTTTATTTATTCATGAGAGACAGAGAGAGAGAGAGAGAGAGGCAGAGACACAGGCAGAGGGAGAAGCAGGCTCCATGCAGGGAGCCCGACGTGGGACTCCATCTCTGGTCTCCAGGATCTCACCCCACGCCGAAGGCGGTGCCAAACCGCTGGGCCACCCAGGCTGCCCAGTTTTCACATCTTTTGAGTCAATATGGAACAATGTGATTGCTGGATCCTGGGGTAGGAGTCTGTTTCACCTTGTAAGAAACTGCCAAACTGCCTTCCAAAGTGTGGCACCATTCTGCCTTTTCTCCAGCAATAAATGAGAGTCCTGTTCCACATCCTTGTCAGTATTTGGAGTTGCCAGTGTTCCAGATTTGGGCCATTCCACTAGGCGTGTAGTGGGAGATTGTTGTTTTAATTTGTGTTTCCCTGATGACATACGATGTGGAACATCTCTTCATATGCTTATTTGCCATCCATACATCTTCTTTCGTGGTGTGTCTGTTAAGTCTTTGGCCCATTTTTAAATTGGGTTGTTTTCTTACTGTTGAGTTTTAACAGTTCTTTGTATGTTTTGGGTACCAGTCTTCTATTAAACATGCTTTTTTAGCAGATGTTTTGTCCTGGCCCATGGCTTCTCTTCTCCTTCTCTTGATGGTAGCCCTCATAGAGCAGTTTTAAATTTCTACAAAAAGCAGTTTATCTACTTCTTTCATGGATCGTGACCTTGGTGTTCTATCTAAAAGTCATCATCATACTGAAGGTCATCATGATTTCCTCCTATGTTCCTTTGAGGAGTTCTATAGTTTTGATTTTTACATTTAGATCTATCATCTGTGATCCATTTCAAGTTAATTTTTGGGAAAAGTGGAAAGCCTGTATCTAGATTCTTTTTTGTTGTTGTTTTCTTTTTGCATGTGATGTTACAGTTGCTCCAGCACCATTTGTTATAGAGACTGATGGATTTTAATGTAACATCACAGGAAAGGGTCCCTGATACAGTTTCAGATTGTAACCAACCTTTAAGAAGCCACCACTTGTCCAGTTTGGGTGAGTTTTGAAGAATTATCTGAAAAGGCTAGTAAAACACTCCTTCCTTTTCTGACTATGCGTTTATTTGGGGCCAAATCATTCCTATTCTTCAACCAAAGCAACACATCATGATAGATTGAATGCAGAAGCGCATAGGAGAATCAAGGTATCTTCTATTAAGCCAGCCATTTATTAAAGAGATTTGCAAAAATGTAAAACAATGACACTCTTTTTATGAAACATTTTTAGAAACTAGAATAATTTTTTCATAAAAATGTTATTTATATTAATGTGTAATAGGTTTATTATAGTTATTTTTAAATGAATGAATATTTAGGGGATCCCTGGGTGGCGCAGCGGTTTGGCGCCTGCCTTTGGCCCAGGGCGCGATCCTGGAGACCCGGGATCGAATCCCACATCGGGCTCCCGGTGCATGGAGCCTGCTTCTCCCTCTGCCTGTGTCTCTGCCTCTCTCTCTCTCTCTCTCTCTGTGTGACTATCATAAAAAAAAATTTAAATGAATGAATATTTAAAATTTTTCTTGGTTTTAATTTTTTTTCCAACAAATACTTGAGTGCCTATTATGTACCAGGCACTGCTCTAGGACCCCTCATGCCCCAAAGAAAAAAAATAAAACAAGATAGAAGCAGAAAAATATGGAACATTTCACAAATTTGTGTGTCATCCTTATGCAGGGGCCATACTAATTCCTCTCTACATCATTCCAATTTTTAGTATATATGCTGCTGAAGTGATCACCCTTGGTTTTAATTTCTAATGCAATAAACCTTGATAGCTGTCACCTACATAAAATTAGGTACTCAATAATTTTTAAAGAGTTTAAGGGGTCCCCAAACCAAAAAGTTTAAGAATCACTAGACCAGATTATTCTTTCTGAAACATTCTTCTCTAGCATCTTTATAACTTCTGCAAGAATCCTGTTTCACCTGATGACTACCAGTTATTAATTTTCTTAGATATATCTTTGTACTTTATAAACTTCATATCCCTACAGTAAATGGAAAACCTCTGTTAAGTATTTTATGGAAGATACCCATAAGAATAACTACAATGAAAGCAGACACTAATGTAACATTCTAGCAGGATTCTGCTGCCTGCTGAAGGCTTCTTCTCTTTGTTAACAAGGGGGAGTGTTCAGAGTTGTTAAGGAGATACTAGCACCAGCCTGAGACTTTCCTCTTGAGCTTCTCACGCTGAAAGAGAGGAAGGAATCACTTTCTGACTTAGTGAATTGGTAAATGTGGTGACCCTTCACCATCTCATCTTACCACTCATACCATCTCACTGCACAGAACAGTGGCAGGCACCTCCACCTGCCTGCACCCCCACCCCCCGCAAGCAGATGGTCTCTCAAGACCCTCCAGCCAGCACAGGTAAGGACCAGCTGATGAGGGCTCCACTTGCAGAAGTGTGACTGATTCACACAGCTTATGGGATGAGAGCTGGGGCATGGAGCCTTGGTGTTAGAAAATCGAGAATTGCACAGGTTTTTGTCAAAGGCCAGTGGTGGTGGAAGGCTGCCGGGCTTGGGGTTCAGAAGGAACCTCTGGGGTAAGGACCCAGGGCAGGCCAAACCAACCAGGTCCAAAGGATCAGCAAAGCCAGGCTACTACTGTGTCCATTGTGAGTCTTGGAGCTGGGGACACAGACCCACATATGGAGACACATGTGTGAACATGCCTGTTCAGAACCCTGGCTGCCAAGGAGGGGCCCTAAGACATAGTAATAGTAACCAGTATTTAGTGAGCACTTTCCGTGGACTTTAGTTCATTTAATGTTCAGAAGTAGTATCATTTCACCCTTTTATGATCAGAGACACCAAAGGTCAGATGGGTTATGAGGCAGGTCCAAGGTCACCCAGCTAGTAGGTGGTACAGCTGGGATCTGAAGTCTAGCCATCTGGCTCCAGAGGTCATGCAGCACTGCTTCCCACCTCATGCTCCAAGGGGAAAACAGGCCTGTGTAAGGGAGGTGGGCCCTTGTCCAAGGTCACCCAGCAAGCCTGGGGGCAGCACCAGGCCAGAGCCCTGGTCTTCTGGCTTCTCCTTGAGGGCAGGTTCTGGGAAAGCTGGCACCTGGGACCCTCTCTTGCTGCCACCACTGGCTTTCCTTAGCCCTGCTGCTAAGGTGATGGTGATCCCAGGTGGTGCCCACTCTGGGGACCCAGTGTGTGTGTGTTGACACTGGCACTGTTTACAGGTGAGGCAGGTAGGATGGTGACAGATATAAAGAAACAAGGGTGACAAATACTCTTGTCAACCAAAACACTGGCAAGGCAGAGTGGCACCCATAGCTGTACACCAGATAGGCTAAGCAGAGTTCCAGTGGGCCACCCTGTGAGCAGGAGGAGGTGGAAGGCATGGTGGGACCAGGCTGGATGTCACCTCCCCTGACTCCCAGCACCTGGCCATGAGAGAGGAGCACAGGGCAGGGGGAGCCTTGGAATTGGGTGAAGCCTCTGGGGGCCTCTCTCTCGTTAGGTTAGTAGTCGGGGGAGGATAGAGAGCTGCACCCCATGGGGTCTGCAGACAGCGTGGGGCCAGGTGGATGGGAGCTGTTCCAGCCTGGGTGCTACCACTTTGACAGCTGTCTCCAAGGCATGGCCTCCCGTCCCTGCTAAGGTCCAGCCATCCTTGTCTTTCTGACATTGACCCTCGATGATCAAAGGCATGGGGTAAGGACAAGGCCCTGATTGCACAGACCTGGGCATGGGAGGGTGGTAAGGGGCTTCAGTGCCTGAGGCTCAACACTGCTACATGGGGGCTCAGTGAGGAGAGGCAGTGGAACCCCCTACCTAGGTGGGGAGACGTGTGCACAGGCTCAAGCTAGCCCTCACTCTCTGAAACTGCTGGCCATAAAAGAGGCCACCTGGTGCCCCTGGGCTTCGGCTCCTCTCCCCTCCATGGTCACCCTTGCCATCTTCTGTCCCGTCTCCTGTCTCTCCTCTGCCCCAGTCCCAGCCAGGCTAGATGCCAGCCCCCACAGCACCTTTGTCGGCAGTTCCTTTCTCGAGGCTATGTGGCCTAGCAAGGAGAGGGTGGGCTTAGTTTCAGCCCTCACATGGCCCCTGGGTTCGAGACTCTTCAACAGGCCACCTACCTTGTAAGTGAGCTATAGTCAAGGAAGTGTGAATGTGGAGTGTGCCACGTGTGCCCCCTGAATGTATGTGATGACACAGACCTGGGTGGTGGTGGTGGTGCCATAAGATGGAAGGAGCTAGTCCATGAATCACTGTGTGGAGGAGAGCCATTGACCAGAGCACTTGCCCTAGACTATCAGATGGGCAGGAAATAACCTTATGTTGCATGTAAGCCAGGAAATACCAGCAATATTTGTGGTAGTCACCAGAGGGGCCCTTCTGGGTGCTGCTAGTGTTCCTCCTCTCCTGGTTCCTGGACAGGGAAAAGACTGCTCTCTCAGTAAGTGGAGAAAGGCAGAGGCTGGTTTCCTGGAATATCAAAAAATCTGTGATGCACCTCCATTCCCCTGCAAATAGGAAAGGGTGCCCCACAGCAGTGTCTCCTGTGCCTTAGCCATTGGCATACCTGCCACTGGCATTTTTTTTTTGTTTACTCTTGTATCACAGAACATGGTGCACAGTAGGTGCTCAAAATATGATGTTAAAATTCTGCTGTGTTTGGATACTCACTGTGTTGCATAGACTTAATGCATTGACTTAATGTTTTTCTTTAGACTTGTATCTATTTAAAACTTATTTTTAAGAGAAAGGAAATTTAGTATCACTAACAATATACCCAAAAGGATATTTGATAGGTTAGTTTTTATCTTTTTCTTTTTTAAAGATTTTATTTATTTATTTATTTATTTATTTATTTATTTATTTGAGAGAGAGACACACACAGTGTGTGTGTGTGTGTGTGTGTGTGTGTGTGTGTGTGTATGGGCGCGCAAGCAGTGGGCGAGGCAGAGAGAGGGAGAGAGAGAATCTTAAGCAGACTCCGCACTGAGCACGCAGACCAACGCAGAGCTCAATTTCACGACCCTGAGATCATGATCTGAGTTGAAATCGAGAGGTAGATGCTTAACTGAGCCACCCAAGAGAGTCCCAGTTTTTATCTTTTCCTATATGCATTAAAGTAGGTTAAGAACTACTGAGATAAAAATCAACATGTGCATCCATCATGCTAGTTAAAACCTGCCCACTTCCTCCACTTGGGAAGCACCTTCCCTTAGCGTGCAGTGTAGCACAGGCACATGCCCAGGTGTCCTCAGGATTTGGAACAGAAGGAGCATGCCCAAGAGCAATGAATCTGGCTCCAGCCTCTAAGCAATGGGCTGGGAACATTCCACTTCACCTCCCCATTCTGCATGGCCTTGACCTTCTCCCACCAGCAGGGCCTTGGCTTTAGGTTCCGTGAAGCTTGGAGAACCATCCAGACTTACTGGGAATGTACACTACTTGCTGGGGCACAGCACAGGAGATGGGGTGGGCATGCCATGGGCTCCAGGTTTCCGGCCAGAGACTTCCTGTTTCCTTCTCTGTCCATGCCTCTCTCCTTGGTTTGCTAGTTTTGCTTTCAAGTAAGAATGAGTACATGGTGTCACAGCTCCAAAGGAGTCTATGACCTTCTCATTAGAAGGAAAATGGCATCTGTGCCTTCCTTCACTTGGGTGGGGAATCACTGGCAACAGTGATTCTGTCCTGAACAAACCTCCTGCCATCTCCTCACCCCTGGCAGTCAACTTGAGGCCTCAACTTTGTTGAGGGAATTGCCCCAAACTGTTTGGACACCAAATGCAGGAGAACCAGGGATTCTGGCCTGCTAAGGAGCTTTGTTGTCATGGGCACTTCTGGTCTCCTCACTGCCAATGTCCTCTTGAAAGGGAACATGAAGGTACTAAGTGCCCAGCACCACAGCCACCACAGATGATGGAAGAAGGAGGGAGGGACACCTGTCCTGCCCACCTGTCCCCAGTAGCCCTCTGGCTAAGTGGGCGCTTACCCTCAGTGAGGTGGGTGTCCCCCCAAGCAGGGGCGGGTGGGTGGGGGAGAAGAACCCCCTCCTATGAGGGAGCCGCTGAATCCTAATCCAGAACTGCCCCCTCCCAAGCCTCTGAGACCTCACTTAGCCACCAAATGAACTTCAGCAAAACCCCCTAAAGGAAAATCACTGTAGGCTTCATTTCACCTTAGTTAGACTTGACCTGCTGAAAGGGTGGGGATGGGAAGTCTGGTCCTAACTCTACCTCTGTTGGTCCTCCATCATCACCCCGCCCCACCCCTACCCCCTTCCATTCTTCCTCTGGGGACTTCTCTCTCCCTTGTTTCCACCTAGGCTCATGCTCTGGCCTCCCATCCTAAGTCGGTCCCCAGCACTGATTCCCCCACCAGCCACTGTCTTTCTGTGCTTCCTCCTTTGGTCCTGCCCCTCCCTGCCCACCTCCTGCCGGGGCTTTCACTCCCCTCACCATCACCAGCTGCTGCCTGCTGACCTCTCCTCTCTCTGGGTGCCAGGCCATGGATGTTGCTTCCTGGGTGGTGTGCAGTCTTCTGGGTCACATCAGTCCGCTGCCGGCTGTCTTCTGTGTGGGCCCCATCCCTCCATCCAACATTTAAGTTGCTCAGTCCTCAAAGCCCTCCTTGCTTTTGTAAGCCACCTTCTCCCTGGGCGGGATATCAGCAGATCCTCCTCTGTGCAGAAGGCTGCTGAGCGACCCCACCTGAGCTCTGGTTGGTTTACTGGCTCCTCCACTGGGCTTGGCACGTTCCCGGTCAA